GTTTTGGCATTTGGAGGTAAACCTTCAAAATAGCGTTCAGCAGCATCAATGTTAAAAACTTTGGTCATTAAGTCGATTCGGATTGCATAGTCTGAATCAGATAATTCATACTCGTTATGGGAAACCATCCATTCTGACAACTGCAATGCACATATTCTTGCTCATTATGTTATAATATCTTGTTGATCAACAAGAACATAAGCATCATTGATCCAATTGGATAGTTATATAACTAGTAGCATTTCATATCCAGATTTGATAATGGAGAATATAGCTTTTTCAAGAGAATAAGCATCATTGGTACAAATTTAGGGTTTCAGGAAACTCTACTGAAACTAGGTATATATTACTTCTCTCATGAAGTTCAATCGCGCTAACAATATAATTAGAGGAGAAATTTAGATATCTAACCTCAAGAGCATGCTTGTAACGATGAGATTTACGAAGTTCTTTTGATATATGACGGAGATCGTAGCTTGTAATTCGATGGCCTTCGTTGATCCATTTCTCAATAACATTGGTTGCGCTACGTTTCGGGAGTCTCAGCCGGAAAATTCTGCTCTTTAGATCATCACCGCCACCTGAACCGCAGTCGGATTCATCTTCGGGTGCCGAAATCGGTGATTCGTCGTAGACGATTTCCAATTTCGAAGCCGTTGAAGACGAAGACGAAGAAGACATGAACCTCAGTGAATCATTAGTCCTGGTTTGTCTGCTGTAATTCCTAGGGTTCAAAAATACAAAGCTTTAAAGATTTGCAGGGAGCCAGAACTCAAAAGGAGGTAAAGTGTAGGTGTTAGCTTACCGGATGAGTCCAATGAAGATTGAACGAGCTGCGGCCATGTTCAAACAACGATTTACAAGCAGAACAAAATCAACTGTGGAATACAAATTGAATTAGCAAAAAACAAATAGTTCCAAGTTCTAAGACCGATTCGCGTTCAGAGTCGTCGATCTTCGCTGTAAACGCCCAAAAAAATTGAGTGACAAATAACAAAAAAAAAAAAAAAAAAATGTCAGAAGTGGGATTTGAACACACGCCCTCTTTCGAAGACCAGAACTTGAGTCTGGCGCCTTAGACCACTCGGCCATCCTGACATATTGTTTGTTGTTCTTTCATTAAACTTTCAAATATATTTGTAGTGGTTTATTTAGTAATTAAATATAGTTTCATATCACATTACGTAGCATATGTTACCATGTTATAAGTGAATTATGTAACCTTGTTTTATACTCAAGAAATGTATTAGGAGGTTGTCAGACAAGAAACTATATAGCAATATATTCAAGGAGGTGCATATAAGTTGATTTTAACTTTTAAATATTTATTTGAACATTATGTACAAATGTACAGTTGATTGAAGTAAAAACATGTGTCCATGATAGTAAAGTGTGTATAAAATCTGCATATCAATGTACATTGTCTAGTTCATTATGTATGAAAGTTGTATGAAGCGTTTTGGATTGATTATATAAAGCACACTAAGTTTTTGTTAAGCCTTAAAACGTAAAACCTTGTTTGCTATTATGGAGCATGAAATGCACAAAGCACTCTAAGTAATTATTTCAAGCCTAAAAGTGTGAGATCATTTTCTAACACGTAACGCTTGATAATAATGTCACTCGTGTCAGCTACTTAGCTTATGTAGTGAAAACTTATTTATGTAAAATAATACTTATTTTAAAAGCATTAACAACATGACATGCATGCATGCAGGAGCGGAACACAAGCATTATAACTAGGGGGCCGAAATTAAAATTTCAAAACAAAACTATATAGGCAAAAAAGAAATTGTTCAGAATGATCACATATCAAAATTTGAAAGAAGAAAAATAGTAACAAATATTGTTATATTGCACTTGAAAAGTGGAATTCGTCAATCTTTTTGCATTTTTAAAGTCTTGTTGCAGCAGGAATACTAAACGTTGGGTTCTCCGCAACAGAAATGCTAGACGTTGGGGTATTTTCATCCAACACAATCTCTAATGGTTTTATAGATTCTTGAATAAAATGAATATGTTTTCTTTTAAATAACCGGACAATAATCGATTGGTTTTTTATGTTGATATGTATTATATAAATTAATTAACTAGCAATTAATAAATAACAAAGTATAATACTAATACTAAAATAAAATAACAACTAGAATTTAATAAATAGATGTTATTGAATTTTCTTTTATAACTATATGAAAGCCTAAACTAGATAATATGGTTGTGATTTGTATTAATTCCATTATATACCAATATATAAAATATATAACTATATTCGTTTTAGACTTTTAGTGTTTAATATATATATATATATATATATATATATATATATATATATATATATATATATATATATTATTAAGTCTAGTCTATGTACTATACACCAATGTTATCATTTGGTCTAGTCTATGTACTATACACCAATTTTACACTCCACCATCATCCATCATCTCTCAAGTTTTCAGCATAAAGAAAGAGAAAGAGAGTAAAAGCCAAAGAGGGTTAAAGAGAGAGAAACGAGAGGGAAAAAAATACATGTTTACCATTGTGGAGAGAAGATCGAAAAGGTCAAGAGGGTATCAGAAGGAGAGCATTCACTATTTTTCCGGTACCATCACACGACAGAGAAAAGAGATCGAAGCGGAGAAGCCACGTCCGTCGAAGAAGAAGCACCGGTCCGACGAGCGGCAAGAGAGACCGGTGTTGGAGATGCAGTTGGGCGGTGGGCGACGGTGTTATTCCGGTGAGATTTTGACGTTTCCGGCGTCGAAATTTCTTGGTCTTTATTGTTTTCTTAAACTCAAATCTTTGAGTTAAGAATTTTATATCTCTGATTCGATTTTTTTCTTTGGTTTTATAGAGTTTAAGAGATTGTTTTTCGCTTAATTCGTTTCCTAATATCATCATGTGGTTTCTTTTGATTTTATCAGGATTCTTTGATTTAATTAGTGATTTTCGGAATAATTTTATGGGTTAATAACAAAATTTTGTAACTTACATTACATAATCTCAGAACAGAAGGGGCCAAATGAGGAAATAGTAAAATATAATGATTATTGGACTCATTTTATAAAAAAACTATATGTATTTATGGTATTAGGAGGCTGAAAACCGGGGAGGCCATGGCCCCTCCCAGCCCCTATAAGCGTCCGCCACTGCATGCATGACATTACAAAAGATTTGGATTTATTGATAATAATTCATGTTTAGTAAATTAATGTACACCTTATCAATTTTGCATAATGTTAAAGATGTAAGAATCATTATTGAGTGATATTGCTAATAATATAGGGTCATATAGGGTCATATCTTTTTCAAGTTGACACATTTTGTATATTTATTATTAATGTGATTATTAATAAATAATATCAATTCATGTATTTAATTAGGGAATAGTTATTGTTTTATGAAAAGAATAATTATAAGAAAAGTATAACTAGTTATTATTTTGTAACATCCCAGAAATAAGGATAATTTTTTTTTTTGCTTTTAATTTCATTCAATCATAAAGCACTGATATCAAAATAGTCGAAAGAGTATCATAGTAACGTGTTATCAGAGTACAAATTGTCAAAATCTCTAAATGCGGAAATCATAGGGTGATGCAGTGCGATCAGGCCGGTCCCTTCCCTTTCGAACTGGAAGTACCTGAAACAGAAACTGGAAACTGTAAGCACAGAGTTTAGTGAGTTCATCCAAACATACTAAACAAACATATTGCCAAGCATATTTGGGTGCTTGCCTACCCCTTTGGTCTATTTTAACCGGATACTATCAAGCATATCTAGGTGCTTGCCTACCCCTTCGGTCTATTTCAACCGCATACTACCAATGATATATGGGTGCTTGCAATCCCTTTTGGTCTATTTCAACCGGATATTGTGTCTATTTCACTCCCTGCCAAGGTTTTAAAATACGAAATCGGGCCTCAAGGTGTTTACCCCTCGCCTCACGAGGAGTAAGCCTCGAGGCGAAACGAGGCGTAAGCCTCGAGGTGGAATAATAATAATAATAATAATAATAATAATAATAATATATTAATCATAAAAAACATACTAAAGTCCAATTTTAAACATAAAAGTCTTACTTAATGTCATCATCCCAAAAATAAAAAGATACTAAAATTCATATTAGTCTTCAGATCATGCCAAATTAGTAAAAACAAAAGCATAATAGTCTTCAAATCAAGCCAAATCAACAAAAACGAAGGTCATCATCATCTTCCATTTGACCATCGAGTTCATCATCTTCATCAACCAGATTTAGTTCAACACATTTCCTCCTTTTTGAACTAGAACTTGCACTTGTTCCAACTTTTGTTGCAACTTCTTCATCGGTTCCAACTTCTCCACCATTCTCATCGTCTTCGGTACTTGGGTCGGCTAACCATTCATCATCAGATGGAAATTCCTCAACAATTAACCCTCTCCTAGCTTCTTCTTTGAGACAAACTTTCTCTTCAACTTCTTGTTGTATATAATGTACACCAAGCTATTCATTTTACTCGTAGTCAACCAATTCCTTCTCTTTGTGTGTACTTGATTAAATGTACTCCAATTCCTTTTGCAAGCTGAAGCGAAACAAGTTAGACCTAATATTTTTGTTGCAAACATCATGAGCTCGGGCACACTCTCTCCAAAGTTATCCCACCATTCAACTACATAAATAAACGAAAAACCAAATTCAAATTAGTATAATATTTAATAATAAATGAAAAGTGTATATATAATTATACTTCTAGAATATACCAGGAGGCCGTTTAAGGTATGTTGTTAAAGCCGCATTATATCCAAACAATCCTTTCTTGTACTTAAAGTCATCGAGCTGTGAATCAACCTTTTCATTAGTTTCTTTATCCAAGAGTCTTTCCATGCACCTATACAAACCCATTTTTATCTCGAGATGTCGGAAACATCGGGACTCCACCTATAGCGCGGGTTCAAGAAATAAGCCGCTGCATGCAAGTCACGGTGCATTTGATTCTCCCATTTTTCATCAATAATGTCTCATATTTCCTTGTAAGAAGCCACATCCCCATCAAAATTTATGGCAATCTTTTCCTTGCATTCATCCATAGCACCATAAATATAAGCCATTGCCGATTCTTTTTCACCATTAACAAGTCTCAAAACATGAACCATAGGCTTTGTGGTTTTCATTGAATAAACCACACTAGGCCAAAAATAAACTTCATCCATGACAATCTTCTTGAAAACTATTCCATCCGAATTCTTAGCCCAAGCACAATTTGACCACTCAGTTGAAACAAACATCTGTTGTAATGGTTGTTTCAACTCGTACATGCTTTCTAGTGTCAAAAATGCAGTGGCAAATCGGGTAGCAGCCGGCCGAAGAAGATCTTTCTTGGCAAACATTCTTGCTAAGCTCAAAACTCACTGATGGTTATGAATAAAATTGCTTACTCTTTTCGCCTTAAGTAAAGCATTTTTGTTTTGTGGCAAGCCTCCAATCTTCTCAAGCATCAAATCTATGTAATGAGCAGCACACGGAGTCCAACATAAATGTTTCCAATTCTCCATCAACAAGGTACCAATAGCTTTGTACGCGCTTACATTATTTGTGATCACTTGAATGAAAATATCTTCACCGATTTCCTCAATAACACCATCAAGTAGCTTGAACAACTTTTGTGCATTTTTATGCAATCATACGCGTCAACCGTTTTCAAAAAGACTGTCCCATATTGATTGTTCACAATAAAGTTGATCAGGCGTCTATTTCTAATATCGGACCAGCCATCTGATAACAAAGAAACTCTTGTTTGCTTCCATGTAGCTTTTATGTCATCAACAAATGTAGTGGTTGTCTTGACTTCTTCTTTTAAAATCCAAGTGCCCAACTCGTGTGTTGAAGGAGGTTTTAAGTCACAACCATAATTACCAATTGAACGCACCAAATTTACAAATGCTGGACTCGATGCAATATTAAATGGCATCCCATTCTCATAAAAGCTTCACCCAATATCCAAGAAAAATCTATTGCGGTGTTCTTTAGCCTTCGCTAGTGTCATCTTCTCAACTGCTATTGTCCCTTGGTCATCATCAAGTGGAATCTCCATATAATGGTCCATCGGGCCTCTAACACCCTTGGTGCTAACACTAGGACTAGAATTTGCACCTATAGCAACATTGTTAGTGCTTTTGTTCATATGGTATGATCCACAACCCACATTTTCCTCAAAATTGCATTGATTAGCAAATTTATGATCTTGATATGCT